TGCCGAAGCCCATCTCATGGTCACTGTTGTTTTATTCTACTCATCATCATCACTCCCCCCCATGCCTCTGCCGAAGCCCATCTCATGGTCACTGTTGTTTTATTCTACTCATCATCATCACTCCCCCCCATGCCTCTGCCGAAGCCCATCTCATGGTCACTGTTGTTTTATTCTACTCATCATCATCACTCCCCCCCATGCCTCTGCCGAAGCCCATCTCATGGTCACTGTTGTTTTATTCTACTCATCATCATCACTCCCCCCCATGCCTCTGCCGAAGCCCATCTCATGGTCACTGTTGTTTTATTCTACTCATCATCATCACTCCCCCCCATGCCTCTGCCGAAGCCCATCTCATGGTCACTGTTGTTTTATTCTACTCATCATCATCACTCCCCCCCATGCCTCTGCCGAAGCCCATCTCATGGTCACTGTTGTTTTATTCTACTCATCATCATCACTCCCCCCCATGCCTCTGCCGAAGCCCATCTCATGGTCACTGTTGTTTTATTCTACTCATCATCATCACTCCCCCCCATGCCTCTGCCGAAGCCCATCTCATGGTCACTGTTGTTTTATTCTACTCATCATCATCACTCCCCCCCATGCCTCTGCCGAAGCCCATCTCATGGTCACTGTTGTTTTATTCTACTCATCATCATCACTCCCCCCCATGCCTCTGCCGAAGCCCATCTCATGGTCACTGTTGTTTTATTCTACTCATCATCATCACTCCCCCCCATGCCTCTGCCGAAGCCCATCTCATGGTCACTGTTGTTTTATTCTACTCATCATCATCACTCCCCCCCATGCCTCTGCCGAAGCCCATCTCATGGTCACTGTTGTTTTATTCTACTCATCATCATCACTCCCCCCCATGCCTCTGCCGAAGCCCATCTCATGGTCACTGTTGTTTTATTCTACTCATCATCATCACTCCCCCCCATGCCTCTGCCGAAGCCCATCTCATGGTCACTGTTGTTTTATTCTACTCATCATCATCACTCCCCCCCATGCCTCTGCCGAAGCCCATCTCATGGTCACTGTTGTTTTATTCTACTCATCATCATCACTCCCCCCCATGCCTCTGCCGAAGCCCATCTCATGGTCACTGTTGTTTTATTCTACTCATCATCATCACTCCCCCCCATGCCTCTGCCGAAGCCCATCTCATGGTCACTGTTGTTTTATTCTACTCATCATCATCACTCCCCCCCATGCCTCTGCCGAAGCCCATCTCATGGTCACTGTTGTTTTATTCTACTCATCATCATCACTCCCCCCCATGCCTCTGCCGAAGCCCATCTCATGGTCACTGTTGTTTTATTCTACTCATCATCATCACTCCCCCCCATGCCTCTGCCGAAGCCCATCTCATGGTCACTGTTGTTTTATTCTACTCATCATCATCACTCCCCCCCATGCCTCTGCCGAAGCCCATCTCATGGTCACTGTTGTTTTATTCTACTCATCATCATCACTCCCCCCCATGCCTCTGCCGAAGCCCATCTCATGGTCACTGTTGTTTTATTCTACTCATCATCATCACTCCCCCCCATGCCTCTGCCGAAGCCCATCTCATGGTCACTGTTGTTTTATTCTACTCATCATCATCACTCCCCCCCATGCCTCTGCCGAAGCCCATCTCATGGTCACTGTTGTTTTATTCTACTCATCATCATCACTCCCCCCCATGCCTCTGCCGAAGCCCATCTCATGGTCACTGTTGTTTTATTCTACTCATCATCATCACTCCCCCCCATGCCTCTGCCGAAGCCCATCTCATGGTCACTGTTGTTTTATTCTACTCATCATCATCACTCCCCCCCATGCCTCTGCCGAAGCCCATCTCATGGTCACTGTTGTTTTATTCTACTCATCATCATCACTCCCCCCCATGCCTCTGCCGAAGCCCATCTCATGGTCACTGTTGTTTTATTCTACTCATCATCATCACTCCCCCCCATGCCTCTGCCGAAGCCCATCTCATGGTCACTGTTGTTTTATTCTACTCATCATCATCACTCCCCCCCATGCCTCTGCCGAAGCCCATCTCATGGTCACTGTTGTTTTATTCTACTCATCATCATCACTCCCCCCCATGCCTCTGCCGAAGCCCATCTCATGGTCACTGTTGTTTTATTCTACTCATCATCATCACTCCCCCCCATGCCTCTGCCGAAGCCCATCTCATGGTCACTGTTGTTTTATTCTACTCATCATCATCACTCCCCCCCATGCCTCTGCCGAAGCCCATCTCATGGTCACTGTTGTTTTATTCTACTCATCATCATCACTCCCCCCCATGCCTCTGCCGAAGCCCATCTCATGGTCACTGTTGTTTTATTCTACTCATCATCATCACTCCCCCCCATGCCTCTGCCGAAGCCCATCTCATGGTCACTGTTGTTTTATTCTACTCATCATCATCACTCCCCCCCATGCCTCTGCCGAAGCCCATCTCATGGTCACTGTTGTTTTATTCTACTCATCATCATCACTCCCCCCCATGCCTCTGCCGAAGCCCATCTCATGGTCACTGTTGTTTTATTCTACTCATCATCATCACTCCCCCCCATGCCTCTGCCGAAGCCCATCTCATGGTCACTGTTGTTTTATTCTACTCATCATCATCACTCCCCCCCATGCCTCTGCCGAAGCCCATCTCATGGTCACTGTTGTTTTATTCTACTCATCATCATCACTCCCCCCCATGCCTCTGCCGAAGCCCATCTCATGGTCACTGTTGTTTTATTCTACTCATCATCATCACTCCCCCCCATGCCTCTGCCGAAGCCCATCTCATGGTCACTGTTGTTTTATTCTACTCATCATCATCACTCCCCCCCATGCCTCTGCCGAAGCCCATCTCATGGTCACTGTTGTTTTATTCTACTCATCATCATCACTCCCCCCCATGCCTCTGCCGAAGCCCATCTCATGGTCACTGTTGTTTTATTCTACTCATCATCATCACTCCCCCCCATGCCTCTGCCGAAGCCCATCTCATGGTCACTGTTGTTTTATTCTACTCATCATCATCACTCCCCCCCATGCCTCTGCCGAAGCCCATCTCATGGTCACTGTTGTTTTATTCTACTCATCATCATCACTCCCCCCCATGCCTCTGCCGAAGCCCATCTCATGGTCACTGTTGTTTTATTCTACTCATCATCATCACTCCCCCCCATGCCTCTGCCGAAGCCCATCTCATGGTCACTGTTGTTTTATTCTACTCATCATCATCACTCCCCCCCATGCCTCTGCCGAAGCCCATCTCATGGTCACTGTTGTTTTATTCTACTCATCATCATCACTCCCCCCCATGCCTCTGCCGAAGCCCATCTCATGGTCACTGTTGTTTTATTCTACTCATCATCATCACTCCCCCCCATGCCTCTGCCGAAGCCCATCTCATGGTCACTGTTGTTTTATTCTACTCATCATCATCACTCCCCCCCATGCCTCTGCCGAAGCCCATCTCATGGTCACTGTTGTTTTATTCTACTCATCATCATCACTCCCCCCCATGCCTCTGCCGAAGCCCATCTCATGGTCACTGTTGTTTTATTCTACTCATCATCATCACTCCCCCCCATGCCTCTGCCGAAGCCCATCTCATGGTCACTGTTGTTTTATTCTACTCATCATCATCACTCCCCCCCATGCCTCTGCCGAAGCCCATCTCATGGTCACTGTTGTTTTATTCTACTCATCATCATCACTCCCCCCCATGCCTCTGCCGAAGCCCATCTCATGGTCACTGTTGTTTTATTCTACTCATCATCATCACTCCCCCCCATGCCTCTGCCGAAGCCCATCTCATGGTCACTGTTGTTTTATTCTACTCATCATCATCACTCCCCCCCATGCCTCTGCCGAAGCCCATCTCATGGTCACTGTTGTTTTATTCTACTCATCATCATCACTCCCCCCCATGCCTCTGCCGAAGCCCATCTCATGGTCACTGTTGTTTTATTCTACTCATCATCATCACTCCCCCCCATGCCTCTGCCGAAGCCCATCTCATGGTCACTGTTGTTTTATTCTACTCATCATCATCACTCCCCCCCATGCCTCTGCCGAAGCCCATCTCATGGTCACTGTTGTTTTATTCTACTCATCATCATCACTCCCCCCCATGCCTCTGCCGAAGCCCATCTCATGGTCACTGTTGTTTTATTCTACTCATCATCATCACTCCCCCCCATGCCTCTGCCGAAGCCCATCTCATGGTCACTGTTGTTTTATTCTACTCATCATCATCACTCCCCCCCATGCCTCTGCCGAAGCCCATCTCATGGTCACTGTTGTTTTATTCTACTCATCATCATCACTCCCCCCCATGCCTCTGCCGAAGCCCATCTCATGGTCACTGTTGTTTTATTCTACTCATCATCATCACTCCCCCCCATGCCTCTGCCGAAGCCCATCTCATGGTCACTGTTGTTTTATTCTACTCATCATCATCACTCCCCCCCATGCCTCTGCCGAAGCCCATCTCATGGTCACTGTTGTTTTATTCTACTCATCATCATCACTCCCCCCCATGCCTCTGCCGAAGCCCATCTCATGGTCACTGTTGTTTTATTCTACTCATCATCATCACTCCCCCCCATGCCTCTGCCGAAGCCCATCTCATGGTCACTGTTGTTTTATTCTACTCATCATCATCACTCCCCCCCATGCCTCTGCCGAAGCCCATCTCATGGTCACTGTTGTTTTATTCTACTCATCATCATCACTCCCCCCCATGCCTCTGCCGAAGCCCATCTCATGGTCACTGTTGTTTTATTCTACTCATCATCATCACTCCCCCCCATGCCTCTGCCGAAGCCCATCTCATGGTCACTGTTGTTTTATTCTACTCATCATCATCACTCCCCCCCATGCCTCTGCCGAAGCCCATCTCATGGTCACTGTTGTTTTATTCTACTCATCATCATCACTCCCCCCCATGCCTCTGCCGAAGCCCATCTCATGGTCACTGTTGTTTTATTCTACTCATCATCATCACTCTCCCCCCAGCCTCCACCATCACCCATCTCATAATCACTGTCCATGGCATACTCATGCTCAATATCCTCATCCTCTCCACCACTCTCCTCGTCCTCTGGTGCCTCCCCGCCCGCCTCTTCCCTTTCCACCGCCACATTGCCTCCCTCCTCCCCTTCCTCTTCCGCATCCCCTCCCTCCCCATCCTCCTCCCCCTCCTCCTCCTCTCCCTCCTCTCTTCCAGGAACCCCTCTTGTGTCTCGCCTTGACAGCAAAGGGCATTCACTGATCTGGCACTCACGCAACGTTGGCATTTTCCGGAGAGAGGCGGGCAGCCGAGTCAGCTTCTTGCATATGATCACCTCCAGCTGCTCAAGCTTAGGCAGCCGAGTGAACGAATCTGGCAAGCTTCGTAAGTGCTTCAGACCCAAAATCAGCAACTTCTGGAGGGAAGACAGCTTCCAGATGTCATCTGGAATGCTTGGGATTCCAATCATGATGAGAGAGCAGGATCGTAGATTGGATAATTTCAAGGACTCTGGAAGCTGCATCAGCTTGTAGCAGTCAATAATCTCCAGCGTCTCGAGCATCTTCAGCTGCCCAAGAGACTCGGGCAGCTGCCGCATTGAGAGGAGGTTAACCAGCCGCAAGACACGCAGCCCTGCAAGTCCCCCAAGGGTCTCGGGCAGTGCTTTCAGATTGTAAGCCGAATCAACTTTGAGCCGTTGCAGCTGCGACAATTGAGAGATGGAATCAGGGAGGGAATCAAGGCTGTCCATCTCAAGAAGCTTCAGCTGGGTCAAGGAGGACAGACGAGCAAGGGACGGACCTAAAGACTGGACATTGAGCTCCTTCATTTTGAGGCTTTGAATGGAAGGAAGCAAAGGGCGGTTGCTGCTCCTGCTGCCGGTGCTGGTCACAAAGCCCCTGGCAGTGCGTCTAAGCACCTTCTCATCGCCTAGCACCCCACTTAACCCACCACACCCCCGCACGTCCAACGCCCGCAGACAGGGCAACTCAAGAAGAGCCGGAGGGAGACATATCAGGCCGTCCATCCCGAAGATCCTGACCTCCTCGAGCGCCTCCAGCCGTCCGATCCCCTCAGGCAGGACCGTCACTTTCGGGCAATTTCCCACTTCCAGGCTGGTGAGGGAAGAAACGCCAAAGAAGGAGGCAGGAAGGGCGGATAGGCGCGGCATAGTATCGAGCGACAGCTCCTTGAGGCTTTTCAAGCTGCCAAAGCCGTCTAGCAGCGCACCCCTGAAGCGTTTCGCGCGTTCAATCTTGAGAGTTTCGAGAGACGTCAGGCCGGAGAAAGTTGGGGGGAGGTGGGTGAGAGCCGTGCAGTCCAGTAGAAGCAAATGACGTAAGGACTGCAGACCGTTCCCCATGTCGTCTGGCAGCACCGTGAGGCGCGGACAACTCTTAATCTCCATATGATCGAGAGAAGATAGCTGGGATAGGGAGCCCGACAGTTCCTCCAGGTGCCAACACTCCAGTATTTTCAGCTCCCGGAGAGCTGTCAGCTGCCCAAAAGATTCAGGCAGACATTTGAGCTGGTGAAGGCTCTTCAGATACAGCTTCTCCAAACAAACCAGCTGCCCGAACTCCTGGGGAAGATATCTCAGATCCTGAGAGTCATTGAGGGACAGCTCTCGCAGTGAAGTAATCAAGGCGATGGAATCAGGTAAGGCTGTGAGACTGCTTAGCTCCAGGACGAGTGTCCGAAGCACTGACAACTGCCCGAAATCTTCGGGCAGCAATGAGAGTCTGTCGATATCAAGGGTGAGCTTGGTGAGTGCAGGCAGGCGGGGAAGAGACGCGGGCAGAGACGTGACATCGAAGCAGTCTTTAATAATCAGGGTCTTCACTCGCTGAAAATGCTCCAGATCCGCAACCAAGTCGCGCATTCCCCTCACTTCAACCAAAATGATGGTTTCGAGTGCCTTCAGTTGACCGAAATCGACCGGCGACGGAGGAAGTATCCTGCATCGTCGAACCTCCAGAACGGCGAGAGAAGAGAGCTCGGTGAAAGAGGCCGGCAGCTGCAACGTCCTGGAATGATTCAAGGAAAGACGGTTCAGAGCGGTAAGCAGTCCGAAGCAGTCCGGAAGTGACGTCAAGCTGCACGTGTTCAGCTCCAGAGACGTCAAGGAAACCAAATTGCCGAAATCTTCAGGCAAAGCTTCGATCATGTAAGTGTTCAGCACGAGGATCCTGAGATGTTGTAACGAGGTAAGAGAGCCAGGAAGGCTTGTAACGCTTCCCCCGATAGTCAAGCTTCTGAGCCGTGTAAGCCGGTCGATCGACGTGGGAATGGCAGAATGCTCCGAACAATGAAATTTAAGATCTTCCAGCCGCGTACACGCCTCGAACAGCACAACGAGGCTCTTCTCAGATACACCTCCGGGTCTAGATCCACGTGACATCGATTCGACATGAAGCTGGGTCAAATGGTGATACGTGCTAGCGAGGTGGGAGAATAAAAAATTAGGGGTGGAGGTGAGGCTGTCATAGGAAAGGATGAGCTCTTCGAGGTTAGGGAACGGCGACAAAAGCTGAACGAGGCGACGCGGATCCATACGGAGGTTATTGGGCAAGCGGAGCTGGTATTGCGCGCGGTACGCGATCCGATGCCATTGCTTGCTAACAAATGCGTGCTCCAACAGGCCCTCAGGTCGAACCAGAAAACGCAGGATCCGAGAAAGAACATCCTCAGGTAACCGCTGGATCGGCGAACCGACTGGCATTGTGAAAGGAGGAGAAAGAATTATTAGCTGATCAGCTTGTTGATTCTGCTACTAATCAGGTAACGTGACTCCTAATCGTCGATCAGCAAGGTTGTTGTGAGCCTGAAAGGGTAAGGAGGAAAGAGCCTGAAAGAGCCTGAAAAGCCGCCTGCAAGGGAATATGGGGTTTTCAGCTTAGCGGGGACAGGTATCTGGACCCTTCCGCTTTCAGGGTACGGACAGCGCAAACTGCGCACAGTTTCCGCAAAAGTCTGGGCTAGGGGGGGAGGGTTATTGTTCAGGTTAGGGAGTCGAGCTCTCAATGAGCCACGTGGTTAGTCCTACACAGCTCTCTCACTGTACATCTACAATCTCAGATTCTGCACTGCGCTTGTTTGTTTTTTCTACCGAATCCAGGGTAGCTCGTCAGCCCACTGTTCCCGAAGCTGTGTGGCCGTTGTTGTTTTTTTTTTTCGTCCAAATTACATTGCACCCGAAACCCTGAGAATATGTGCACCCTTCCTGACCGAAACAAAATAAACCCAATCGGGAAGGGGTGCGACTCGGGAGGCATCAACCCTAACAAGAAAGAGGGGTCCCGTGTTTAGGGTTGATTCCTCCCTAAAATGCGTCCGAGGGAGGCATCAACCCTAAACACCATGCCACAAGGTGTTTAGGGTTGATGCCTCCCTGACCGGATGCCTTCCCGACTGGGGTTTATTTTTTTTGCTCGCGTGTCCGTTGGGGTATTTCGAGTGTAATATATTGAGTAGAAACGACAAACCAGAGCAGTGGAGAATCTGTGATTGAACACCTACAGTGAGCTCTCTGTGACTGGGAAACGTGGCTCATTGAGAGCTCGAGTCCCTAATCTGAACAATAACTCTCCTCCCCTAGCCCAGACTTTAGCGGAAACTGTGCGCAGAAAGCGCTACCCCTAACCTGAAAGCGGAGGGGTCGGGATACCCCTCCCTGCTAAGCTGAAAACCCGGGAATAATGTTCAGGGAGTGCATCTCTCAACACAACTCAACGAGAAACCCTTGGGCCTGTCAGTGACACCGCACTCAACCTCTTTCTTCTTGAAACCATTCCCGCCAGATTCTCCCACGTAACACGTACTTGCGAAAAGGACGGCGACACTGGGCGCACAATCGCAAACCTGTACACAATCTCGATTTGCGTGGATCAGCCTTCGCGAGCCCCAATTCGCTGTCCCATCCCATGGTGAGGTGACCCGGTGTGGGCTTGTGCGCTTCCTGCGAAAAAAGTGAGGGTGCTAGTGTACCCGTTTGTGGATGCGAATCCAACAGTTTGTTTTCAGCAGCGAGTTGTTACTTGCAAATAGGTAAGGTGTGTAAAGAAGTTTGAAAACAATGTGTTCACACTCGTAAAATGGAATTGTAGTGTGTATTTTGTGTTTACCGCATTGATCCAGTATGCAATACTGCGTCTTAGCATGTAAACCACTCGACACAGCACCGTAATTGCTGCACTGCACTCGCTGTCACACTGCTGCTAACGGCAAATTAGAAGAGACACCACATCTCCACTCTGGCTGCCATTGACTCTCATGTCCACAATATGTAATGCGGGCAACAAGGAACGACTCCCTGAGAATGCTGCTGACTATCTTCTGCTTTGGACAGCAGACCTAAAAACCCCTTATCAGCTTGCCAACCGCTCTGTATGTTGACTGCTCATCAATGCGAGGATGAGAACCCCCTCACGGTGCTGCCGATCATCTTCTGCTTCTGCGCAAACGACCACGATGGGTTGTTCTGCCACACAGGAAGTAAGGCAGCGCGGGACGCGGAGAGAAGAGAGGCCCACATGAACGAGGACGTGGAGAGACAGCAGGCGGAAAATGCATCCACCATGGGAGAAAGGCTGTTCAGGAGGGACACAGCACATCCACCTGCCGTCATACACATCTACTGTCACACACACCCACCTGCATTGTAAGCAATTACCCACTGCACACCTATCTGTAGTCAAAACCTCAAGATTCAACCCCAAATGCTAGACTTCAAGCCCTAACCAGCCCCACCTGCAGGGTGAGCAGAGCACGCTTGGTGAACGCCACGGCCTGCGGGGACACGCTGGGAGGAGGCTTCTCAGCGGCTTCCTGCAGCGCCTTGTTCTCCTGCAGCGCTGTCATTCGCTGCGGCCCCGCATACAGCTCCACCAGTGCCTCGAGTTCATCGGCACGGGAGAGACAGCTCTGCAGGGCGGACTGGGGAGGTGAGAGCAGGGGGAAGGGGGAGCGGGAGGGGGAAAAGAAGGGTCAGGAAAGAGGAAAGGGGTCATTCGCTGTGGCCCCGCGTGCAGCTCTACCAGCGCCTCCACCTATCCGCACGGGAGAGACAGCTCTGCAGGGCGGACTGGGGGAGGTGTGGGAAGGGGGGAGGGAAAAGGGGGTAGGAGAGAGAAACGGGGAGGAGGAAGCGGGTCATTCGCTGCAGCACCGCATACATCTCCACTAGAGCCTCGAGTTGATCCGCGCGGGACAGGAAGCTCTGCAGGGCGGACTGGGGGAGGGAGAAGGGGAGGACGGAACAGAGAGGAAGGTGGTCATTTGCACCTGGAACCGCGGTCACTGAGAGTCACCGAGGAAGGCGGTTCCTCAGTGACCCTCTGTGACAGCACCGCAGGGAAGGCGCGTCATGCCCGTGACTGTGTCAACCCCTCACACACACAGACGCACAGACAGAGACTGACCCACAAGCACCACACGATCACCCTCACAGAGCCACACAGCCGCCCACCTGGAACTCCTCTGCGTGCCCGTGAGCACCATCAGCCTCGCTTGGCCGCCACCATCACCTCCTCCAGCGACGGTGCTGCTAAGGGGGCGGTACTCCCCCCTCCTCCTCCCCTTCCTCTTTCTCTCCCTCCTCCCCTTCCTCTTTCTCTCCCTCCTCCCCTTCCTCTTTCTCCCCCTCCTCCCCTTCCTCTTTCTCTCCCTCCTCCAATTCCTCTTTCTCTCCCTCCTCTCCTTCCTCTTCCTCTCCCTCCTCCCCTTCCTCTTTCTCTCCCTCCTCCCCTTCCTCTTTCTCTCCCTCCTCCCCTTCCTCTACCTCCTCCCCTTCCTCTTTCTTTTCCTCCTCCCCTTCCTCTTCCTCTCCCTCCTCCCCTTCCTCTTCCTCTCCCTCCTCCCCCTCCTCTTCATCTCCCTCCTCCCCTTCCTCTTCCTCTCCCTCCTCCCCTTCCTCTTCCTCTCCCTCCTCCCCTTCCTCTTCCTCTCCCTCCTCCCCTTCCTCTTCCTCTCCCTCCTCCCCTTCCTCTTCATCTCCCTCCTCCCCTTCCTCTTCCTCTCCCTCCTCCCCTTCCTCTTCCTCTCCCTCTTCCCCCTCCTCCCCTTCTTCCTCCTCCCCGTCCTCGCTTCTCCTTGCAACAAACCGCCTCGTGTCTCGCTGGGTGAGCAAAGGGCAATCAACGACCTTGCATGTACGCAACGTCGGCATTCTCCGGAGAGAAGACGGCAGCCGAGCCAGCTTCTTGCACTCACGCACATGCAGCTCCTCAAGCATAGGCAGCCGAGTGAACGACTCTGGCAAGCTGCGCAACTGCTTCAGTCCCGTTATCAGCAAATTCGTGAGGGAAGACAGCTTCCAAATATCATCTGGAAGGGTTGAAATCTCGAGAGTGACAAGAGCGCAGGATCGTAGGTTGGATAGATCCACGAAGGACTCTGGAAGCTGCATCAGCTTGTAGCAATCGATGATTTCTAGGCTCTTGAGCATCTTCAATTGCCCGAAAGACTCGGGCAGCTGCCGCATCGTGTATAGGCGAACTAGCTGCAAGCAATGCAGCCTGGAGAGTCCACCAAGGGCATCAGGCAGTGCTTTCAGATTCTTGGCCCAATCAACCCGGAGCCTTTGCAGCTGCGAGAGTTGAGAGATGGAGCTGGGGAGAGAAACAAGTTTGTCCATCTTTAGGAGCTTCAGTTGTGTAAGAGAGGACAGCTGTCCAAGGGACGCAGGGAGGCGTTTCAGGCCGTCCATCCCAAAGATCTTGATCACCTCGAGCGCCTCCAGCCGTCCGATCCCTTTGGGAAGGATAGTTACTTTAGGGCACTTCCCCACTTCCAGGCTGGTGAGTGCAAACATGCCCGAGAATGAGGCAGGAAGGGCAGACAGGCGTGGCATGCAAGGTGCCCCTGAAGCGTAGCGCGTCTTCAATTGCGAGGGTTTCGAGAGACATCAGGCTGGAAAAGGATGGGGGAAGGTGGGTGAGAGCCTTGCATTCCAAGAGAAAAAAATGGCTCAAGGAGTGCAGACCCTTTCCCATGTCGTCTGGTAGTATCTTGAGGCGTGGGCAATCGTAAATCTCCAGGTGCTCGAGGGAAGATAGCTGGGATAGTGAGTCCGGGAGTTGCTGCAGCCTCCCACGCACCAGAATTTCCAGCTTCCGGAGAGATGTCAACTGCCCGAGGGATTTGGGCAGGCGTGTGAGGCGGTAAAGACGGTTCAGACTCATCGTTTCCAGAGAAATCAGCTGCCCGAACTCCTCGGGCAGAGACGTCAGGCTCACGATATTCTCGAGGGAGAGCTCTTGAAGCGTGCTACGAAGGGCGATGGAATCAGGCAAGGCCGAGAGATTCCTCAAGTTCAGCGAAAGTGTCACAAGCTCTGACAACTGCCCAATATCTTCGTGCAGGGCTGAAAGTTGTGGCATGTCAAGGGTGAGGCTGGTGAGGGACGGCAGGCGGAAAAGAGACTCGGGCAGAGACGTGACATCACGGCAACCCTCGATCGTTAGAGTCTTCATTCGGTGCAGATGCGCGAGAGCCTCAATCAAGTCGCGCATTCCCGTCACGTCAAGCAGAATGAGGGTTTCGATCGCCCGGAGTTGACTGAAATCGACTGGCGACGGAAGAATGGTGCATCGTCGAACCTCCAGGACGGCGAGAGACGAAAGCTTGGTGAAAGAGGCGGGCAGCTGCAATGTCGAATGGCTCGAGCAGCCAATGTGCAGCTTCAGCGACGTTAAGAAAACCAGATTGCCGAAATCCCGAGGCAAAGTCTCGAGGTTATAACAGTTCAGCACCAGGCTTTTGAGAGAGTGTAATGAGGTAAGAGTGTCGGGAAGATGCGTGACGCTTGCTGTGAGGCTGAAGTTCCTGAGCAACGTGAGCCGGTCGATCGACGGGGGAATGGAAGCGTGCTGGGAACAATACAGATCAAGATCTTCGAGTCGAGTACATCCCTCGAACAGCACAACGAGATTCTTCTCAGTTACAACTCCGTACCTAGATCCACGTGATTTCGGTCCAATGCGAAGCTCGGTCAGATTAGGACACATCCGGGCAAGGTGAGAGAATAACAAGTTTGGGGACGAGGTGAGGCTGCCAGAAGAGAGAATAAGCTTTCTGAGGTTAATGAACGGCGACAGAAACCGAACGAGCCGACGCGAATCCATACGGAGGTTATCCGGCAAGTGAAACTCGTGTTGCAAGCGATAGGCGATCTGCTGCCACTGCTTGCAAACAAGTGCATGTTTCAGCCCGTCAGGTTGAACCAGAAAACACAGAATTCTTGAAAGCAGCTCCTCAGGAAGCCGTTGGATTGGCGATCCGACTGGCATTGTGAAAGGAAGAGAAACGAAGAGATGGTTGATCACCTCGGTAAAGTCGCTACGAGTAATCAGATAACCTGACGATTAATCTTCAACAAGCTTGGTCAGACTGAAGACTCTTCAACAAGCTTTGTCAGGGGCCATGGATGCATTGCTGACCATCGCATCCAATGCATGGCAGATAATTCGTTTGTAGGTGTGAGGCCGCCATTTCGGAAAATTCGATACAAGTACATACGACCATATTATTCACAATTTCAACAAGTGATCCATTTGATTTTTTCTTGTGGGTTTGTGAACACGAGTGGAATTGTTCCTTCGATCCTTCAATCCCACTGACAGGAAGTTCATGGAGCACCAAATCTAGGTATGGCAGCATCATCCACCTGGGCACCGAAGTCATGATTTTGCCAACGCAAAGTGCCACGTCTAGTCTCCCAAGTGAGGTGCACTTGCACCTTCACAACAACCTTTCGCCGCCTCCTGCCAAATATCACGCTGATACTTGCTAGAAGCCTCGCAGCCACTATCTCCCTCATATTAAGCTGATGCCGTGAATGTTTTTTGAGAATTCTCAAAAAACATACGCTGATGCCGTGAACCTTCTCACGATGCTACCGATCATCTTCTGCTTCTGCCACAGGGACTCAAAGAAACCATCTCAACCCACCAACCCCCAATCCTGCCAACCTCCCATCCTGCCAATGCTGGCTGGAAGCCACAAGAAGATCCTTCTCCCCCATCATGCCGACGCCGAGAACCCTCTCACAATGTTGCCGATCATCTTCTGCTTCTGTGCAAACGTCCACGATGGGTTGTTCTGCCATAGAGGAAGGCAGGCAGCGAGGGACGGGCAGAGAAGAGACGCCCACATGAATGAGGATGTGGAGAGCAGCAGGCGGAAAAAACATCCACCATGGGAGAAAGGCTGTTCAGGAGGGACACAGCACACCCACCTGCCGTCATACCTACAGTCACACCCACCCGCATGGTGAGCCATTACCCACTGCACCTACCGATATGTGTGGTCAAAACAAAAAGTTTCAACCCCAAATGTTAAACTTAAAGCCCTAACCAGCCCCACCTGCAGGGTGAGCAGAGCGCGCTTGGTGAATGCCACGGCCTGCGGGGACACGCTGGGAGGAAGCTTCTCAGCGGCTTCCTGCAGCGCCTTGTTCTCCTGCAGCGCTGTCATTCGCTGCGGCCCCGCATACAGCTCCACCAGGGTCTCGAGCTCATCTGCTCGGGAGAGGCAGCTCTGCAGGGCGGACTGGGATGGTGGGAGAAACAGATAGATGGAGAGAGACAGGGAGAACGAAGGGGGTGATGCGCTGCGGCCCCGCATACAGCTCCACTAGGGCCTCGAGCTCGTCGGCACGGGATAGGCAGCTCTGCAGGGCGGACTGGCGGAGGTGAGGAGTAGTGAGCGCAGGAGGAAGTGCGGGAGGGGCAGAGGGAGCAAGGGGAAAGGATGGGGGTAGGAAGAAAGAGGAGGGCAGTGCAAGGGGCTGCTGTAGACCAGAGGGAGGGGCCTAATGCCCCTCCACAACCCCATTCACGCACACAAAGAGACACACAAATAGACACGCTGTACGCACATAGAGAAGGGCCTTCACCTTCACCCACCTGGAACTCCTCCTCGCTCTGCATGCCTGTCAGCGCCATGAGCTCTGCCTTCGCCGCCACCATCACCTCCTCCAGCGACGGCCCCTCACCCGCCTGCAGCTGCTGCTCTTCCTCCGCCAGCAGCGGGTTGAGGGGCGAGAAATCGTCCGGGGTGATGTACTCTGGCTCGAAGTCCACCTGGTGGGGGAAGAGGGAGAAGGGATACAAGCGAGCTGGGTTTGAGATGCAGGCTACACCAGTGCAGGCGGCCGCTGCTCCTCCTCCAGCAGACACTGCAATGGCTGCTAGCCTCTTGCTCCTCCTCTTCCAGCACGGGGTTGGTTGATCGGGGAGAAGTCGTCCGGGGTGATGTACTCCGGCTCGAAGTCCACCTGGTGGGGGGGCGAGTGGGGGAAGAAGAAATTGGCGGGAAGGGTGGCAAAGGAAGAGGAAGAGAACGTGCAAGTGAACACGCGCGAAACGCTTCACTTCAATACATCTTAGGGACCTACTGCCCCTTCAACTACCCACCATGCACCCACCATCCACCCACCATGCGCCCACCATCCACCCACCATGCGCCCACCATCCACCCACCATGCGCGCACCATCCACCCACCATGAACCGCTGGTGCAGCGCTGCATTAGCCACATCGGCAGCCTCTAGGAAGTCCAGAAACGCGCCCGCCTGCCGCTCGTCCTCCTCACTCACACACACACCCCCACCCACCAACCATGCAACCAGTATCAGCCTGCCATCAACTCACCATGAATCGCTGATGCAGGGCCGCGTTAGCCACATCGGCAGCTTCAAGGAAGTCCAGAAACTCGCCCACCTGCCGCTCGTCCTCCTCACTCCACGCCGACTCCTCTATAAACCTCTGCACCACACTCTCCCCCGTCACCAGCTCCCCCCTCCCCCGCCTGCCCCCTCCGCCCATCCGCGGCCTCTGCTGCCCCCCCTGCCCCTCCGTCTGCCTGTCCATTACCAAACCCATCCCCATCCCCATCCCCCCTCCCCTCTGTCCCCCGTCTCTCATCCCTCTCCTCTGCTCCCCTTCCCTCATTCCCCCTCTCCTCTGCCCCCCCGCTCCCGCTCCCCCCATACGCCTCCCTTCCTCGCGCCCTCCCCTTCCGCCCCCTCCCGGGCCTCCTCCCCCCGGACCTCCCGGACCTGCGCCGAGCCTGCGGCGGGACATGACCGAGCCGAGAGCCTCGGCGGCGAACTGATTGACGGCGTCGCGGCGGGAGGAGGCTCGGGAGGAGTCCCGAGCCTTGGCCATAGCTGCGGTGAGGATGCCAAGGGCACGTTCGGTGGCGTCTTCTCGAGAGAGGTTCAAGGGGGGAGGGTGCTGCTGTGGGGGGATGTCAACTGCTGCACCCCTTCCTACCTCCACCCCTCCCACTCCCCCCTGCCCCTGCTTCTGTTCCTCTCTCTCCCCCTCCCTCCCCCTCTCAATCACCCTCTCCTTTTCCCCCTCCCTGCTCCCCTCCCTCCCCAACTCCATCCCCCCCTCCCTCCCCCTCTCCCGCGCCCCCTCAGCGCCCCTCCAGCCTTCCATCTGCCGTTCGAAACTCAGCCTTCCCCTCCCCGCGCCTGCTGCCGGACCTCCCAGCCTTACCAAGCCTGCCCCGCGCCCTGCCGGCATCAGACCACCTCGGCCCAAACCTGCAGACGGAGCCGCAGCGCCCACGTCAGCAGCTGCCACGTCAGCTGCAGCCGGAGCTGACGTGTCTGACGGCGCGTCCACAGGCGCAGCTGCGGAGACGCCAGGGCGCATGCGAGGCGCGGGGGCGGATGGGGATGTCAGGGGGGGCGGCGCGGGGAAGGGGGAGCGGGGCGAGAAGAGGGGCGGGGAGGGGGGCGGGTGGGGGGCGTGCGGGGCGGTGGGCGCTGCGGCTGGCGGGACGCCAGGTGGGGGCGGCGGAGCAAAGCGCGGAGGCGGAGGAGATGGGGGGAATGGGGGAGATGGGGGGGATGGGGTAGTGGCAGCAGCAGGAGAGGAGGGAGCAGCAGCAGCAGCATCAAGGCTGGCAAGAGGAGCAGCAACGAGCGGAGCAGCAAGGTCAGCGTGTGAGTCAGCATCTGCCGCCCGGCGTCTGAGCTTCATCCTCAGGCGCATCTCCTCCCTCTCCCTCTCACTCAGCTGCTCGCTGCTGCCACTGCTCTCACTGCCGACTGCAGCAGCAGCGGGCGCGGAGGGTGGAGGAGGAGCAGCGGCAAGGGGAGGAGGGGGAGGGGGAGGGGGAGACCAAGTGGCAGCAGGGCCCCCAGCAGCAGGAGCAGGAGCAGCCGGGGCGGCATGGGCGGCAGGAGTAGCAGTCTGGGCGGCAGCCCGGGCGGCCTGGGCGGCAGCATCTTCCATCCGCTCGATCTCGCCCATCTCAGCGTACATCTCCACCAACCCGTTCCACGTCGGCGCGGATAAGACAAAACCCGCCGCCCGCGCCTCCCCCAGCATCCGATCCGCCTCCCCCAGGTCCCGCCTCCGCGCCACGCTCCGGATCGCCGCCTCCTGCGCGCCGCTGTCCAATGCAACGCCGCCGGCTCGCGCGTCGGCCAGCACGCGCGCCACGTCAGCATCCCTCCCCGCGCGCTCGTACGCAACGAGCATGCGGGAGAGGGCAGCGGGGGACAGTCCCGTGGGGGCACTGGCGGGGGGAACGGAGGGAGCGGGGGGAGCGGTGAGAGGCAGAGGATGCGGCGGGGAAGCGCCATCTGGGCGCTGTGCCTCATGTTGCGTCAGTGGGGGGGATTGGCCAGCGGAAGCCGCCACGGGCTGCTGGATCGGCGCGCTTGGAGGAAACCTCCCAGGAGCATGAAATCCGGGCGCTCCCCATGACCGCCCGTAACCGGGGGCGGGGGGACCTGCGCCAGGTCCCCATCCCCCCCTGCCTCTCCCCCTCCCCCACATGCCGCCGCCTCTCCCCCCGTCTGGGAAGCCGCGGCCGCCACGACCTCTGCCCCAGCCGCCATCGCCGTCGCTGCCGCCGGCATTACCGCCGGCATTAGTGCCGCTACTGGCGGCGCCACTGGCGGCGTCACTGGGGGGTAAGGCGGCAGTAGCGAAGGCTGCAGAGGGCGGCTCGGAGAGGGATAGGCCAGTAAGGGGAATCGGAGGGGCGAAAGGACCGGCAGGGCTGCTGACGAACGGCGGAGATGGTCCCGTCGAGATCGGTTGGCCGATCTGACGGCGGAGATGCGGCTCGAGCCGCACAATGCAGCGCCTCATCGGAACGACGAACGGACACGATCGGAGATCACGGATCAGATCAGATAGCGTCCGATTTGAGTGGAATGTCCGCGCAACGGCTGAAAGAAACAGGCGGAGTGATATGGAAACGAAGGGAAACGAAAAGACCTCGCCGGTGGATGCGGAGAGCCGTGCATCCACGGACCTGGGTTTCGGTGTGAGAAGTGGGAAGCGAGGTGTGAGAAGGTGCGAGAAGCGAGGCTGCTGCCGTATGCGTTACAAACAGCGTCAAGAAACGAACGTCCTAGAAATAGGGCAGTTTGTGGTGATAGATATCTCAATTGCTTGGTGCAAATACAGTCTCAGAAAATAAAGCAAAATCAAATATTCCAATATTACATGCATCGGACAAACAACACACGCATTTATCAATGGCAATATATAGATGTCAATGTCTTTCATTCCCCCTCAGTAGCAGCTCGCATCCGCTTCTTGTGTTGTTGCCCCAGTATCTTTTGCTTCCTCTTCAAAGCAGCAGCAGCCTTAGTCGCCGATTTCCCAATCACTGACGGCGTTTCCGACAACCCAAAGCTCCGTGCAACATGCCCCAGATGCAGCCTTTTGGGGTGGAAAATCTTTTTCAAGCTGCCCTTATGCGCGCCATACGCCCGCACAAACGACCGAAAAGCCCCAGTGGCGAGCTCCCTCAACGCCGCCCGCCTCGCCACCGTCAATTCCAACTCCTCCTGCCACGTCTCTACCGCGCTGTGATTGGCCAGAGCCTCCTCCGGACTCACCTCCTTCCAGGACGGCCGCCTGCGATTGGTCCGGGCAGGTTCGGCGGAGATTCCGGGCAGGAGCGAGTCGAGGAGGGGGAGGAGAGGCATGGAGAGGAGGTGCACGTTGCAGGAGCGCAGCTGGTCCAGATACTCTGTCTCGTTGGGCAGCAGGAAGAGCACTGCCTCTCCCTTGCGCCCGATGCGAGCCGTGCGGCCCACTCTGTATGAAAAATGGGAAAGAGAGAAAGAGGAAGAGGGATGGGTGGGTGGGATGGGGATGGAGCGGAGTTGGTCCAGGCACTCTGATTCGTTGGGAGGGAATGGTGGGAGTGGGAATGAGTGCAATGCGGTTCGTACCGGTGGACATAGTCAGCAGCATCGCCTGGGGAGTCAAACTGCACGATGGTCTCCACAGCCGGGAAGACTTTTGAAGCGGATAAAAGAGTGGAGTAAGAGGAATGGGTGTAATGCAGTTCGTACCGGTGCACGTAGTCAGCAGCATCGCCAGGCGAGTCAAACTGCACGATGGTCTCCACAGCAGGGAAGTCAAGGCCGCGCGCTGCCACGTCAGTGCACAGCAGCACGCCACGTGGCGCGCTGCGATAGGCCAGGAAGGCCTTGGAGCGGTCCTTCTGCTCCATGTTGCCGTGCAGCTTGAACACCGGCGCTGGCAGCACACCCTGCTGCTGCTGCTGCTGGTCGTGCTGCTGCTGCTGCTGCTGCTGGTGTTGCTCTTGTTGGTGGTGGGGGGAATCAGAGGTGAGGGGAGAGGTGGGGGCGGAGGAGAGGAGGGTGGCGTGGAACTCGACAGAGTCGCACGTTGATAGGAACACCACCACCTGACAGAGAGAAACAGGCAGGCGACGGTTGGGCATGAGAAACCGTTGGGATGGGTGAGCTGTGAGGCCGACGAGGGGATACGAAAGGAAGAACGGTAGAGAATGGGGTACGGGCAGAGGAGCGAGAGAGAAATAGGCAAGTTGAGGCACGATGATAGCCTTTGAGATGGCTTACGTGGCCCCATTACCTTGGATGACGCAGATGTGGCAAGCTTGGAGCGCAGCAAAGCGATGAGCGTGATGAGTCGACAGCGACATGGGACTGGTGCCAGGGGGGTGTGGGAGGGAAATAATGAGGCGGAAGGTAAAAGAGGTTTGGAAAAGGAGCGAGGAAGATAGTTTGAGGGAGAAATGGGGGGGGAAGAGGGGATGCAGGAGTGAATACTGCAGGAGCAAGAGGATCTCACAAATGAAGAGCAAGAGCCAGCAGAGAAGGTCAAAACCAGCAAGCTGCTGTGAAGTTACACGTGCCTGTGCGCTGTCAGCTTAGTAGTCGAGCCTAACCAAGACATCCACCTGATTGGCAGTGCCTGCATTTAGGTACACGCACCTGGTGAGCCCAATCGAGGTGACTTTTGAGTCGACTCAAAAGTCAATTGCCACTTACCGGTGAGCCCCACTTACCGGTGAGCCCCACTTACCGGTGAGCACGAACTGCTTCAGCTGCTCCGGGAAGACAAACGACCCTCCACCACTCGGCCCCTCCTGCAACACCCCCCCCTCCCGCCTCTCCTCCACCCTTCCATGCCCTCCTCCCCTCTCCTCCTCTCTTCCTCTATCCTCCACTCTTCCCCTCTCTTCCTCCCCCCTCCCTTCCTCTCCCACACCCTCACTTGACCCCCCCTGCAAAGCCCCCTGCGTGGCTGCTTGTGCCACCGCCACGCCTGCTGCTCCCCCTTTCCTGCTCTCTGTCTTCCCCACCCCGCCTTTACTGCCACCAATCTCCAATGCCCCATCTTCACCTCCCGACCTCTTGCCCTTCTCCTCCTCCTGCTCCTTCTGCTCTCTTCTCTCCTCCTTCCTCTCCTCTTTCTTTTCCTTGCGCTCCGCCCGGCCCGCCTTCTTAACGGCACGGAGGGCCTGCATGAAGAGAGGCAGGTCGTCGTCGTCCTCGTCCTTCTCCTCCCCAACCTCCTCTCCCTCCTCCAACTCCTCCTCATCTTCCTCCACCTCCCCCTCCTCCGCTTCCTGCTCCTCCTCCTCTTCCTTTGCTTCCTCCTCTTCCTCCTCCTCTTCCTCCTCCTCTTCCTCCACTTCTTCCTCGTCTTCCTCCTCCTGTTCCTCCTCCTCCACTTCCTCTTCTGCCTCTTCCTCCTCCTCTTCCCCTCTCTCCACCCCTCCCAGCTCCTCCAATCCTCTCTCACCCATCCCAACCCCTTTCTCCTCTCTCTGTCCCACCCCACCCCCAACCCTCGCCACCGGCCGCCCAGAAACCCTCTCCTCCACTCGCACACTGCCACCTGTCACGCTCACAGCCACCGGTGACACCAGGCTGACGTCAGCCAGCTGCTCCACCCGCGGGCCAAGCGTGGCGGACAGCAGCATAGTCTGAAGCTTCCTGGAAGCACCCTGAGCACCCCCTCCCTGTATCAGACCGTCTTGGCTGAGCCTCTCTCGCAGCAGAGAGATGATTTCCTTGATGTCCCGCTCAAAGCCCAAATCCAGCAGCCTGGTGAGTGGGGAGAGGGGTGGAGAGGGATGGTGAATGGTTTGGATTCCATTAACATCTCGCTCGAATCCCAGGTCCAGCTGCCTGTGGGATAGGCAGGGGAATTGGTGGAGAGGGGTGGTGAGTGGTTAGAATCTCCTTAATGTCGCGCCCAGACCCCAGGCTGACAAGCACCACCAGCGGCACCAAGAGCACCAGCAATCCCACACCTGTCAGCCTCATCCAGCACGAGCCACCGCACGCAAACGAGCTACCTTCTGACTCGACTCAAAAGCCAAATGCGCACATGGCCCAGAATCAGCCTCTATCTCTTTCCTCTTCAGCTCGCATCCACACTTGTATGTATTTCCGCCCTCACCTGTCAGCCTCGTCCAGAACTAGCCATCGCAGGCGAGCGAGCCCAAACGAGCACGTGTTGCGCAGATGGTCCAGCAGCCTGCCAGGTGTCGCGATCACAATGGCCAGCCCTTTGCGCAGGCGCGCCTTCTCCTTGCCGCGGCTCTCCCCTCCGATGCATCTCCCCGGTACGATCCACACGAAGCGCCGGCACAGCTGCTGCGCCACCTCCTCTATCTGTACGCAGAGCTCCCTCGTTGGGGCTAAGACGACGGCTGTAGGGTGAAGGAATGGGGGGAGAGGGAGGGGGGTAGAGAGGGGGGAAGGGGGAGCGGAGAGCGGTGGGTGATGTAGCTGGCAGGCAGGAGCACCTGCTGTGTGTGCACCTCGCTGCACCTCGCTACACCGCCCCGGTACGATCCACATGCAGCGCCAACGCTGCTGTGCCTCCTCCTCCATTTGTATGCAGAGCTCTCGTGTGGAGGCTACGATGAAAGGGGGGGGGGAAGACAGGAGGGAGGGAGGGAGGGAGGGAGGGATGGAGGGAGGGAGGGAGGGAGGGAGGGAGGGAGGGAGGGAGGGAGGGAGGGATGGAGGGAGGGAGGGATGGAGGGAGGGAGGGAGGGAGGGAGGGATGGAGGGAGGGAGGGAGGGATGGAGGGAGGGAGGGATGGAGGGAGGGAGGGAGGGAGGGAGGGATGGAGGGAGGGAGGGATGTAGGGAGGGAGGGAGGGATGGAGGGAGGGAGGGAGGGAGGGATGGAGGGATGGAGCGTTTGATGCCCTTTTTGCAGGTGCGCCTTCGATCTGCACACAGAGCTCCATCATGGGGGCCAACACCACAGCCGTGAGTCATGCACGGGGGGTGAGTCATGCATGGGGGGTGAGTCATGCACGGGGGGTGAGTCATGCACGGGGGGTGAGTCATGCACGGGGGGTGAGTCATGCACGGGGGGTGAGTCATGCATGGGGGGTGAGTCATGCACGGGGGGTGAGTCATGCATGGGGGGTGAGTCATGCATGGGTGGTGAGTCATGCACGGGGGGTGAGTCATGCATGGGGGTAGGGATGAGCAAGGGGCGAACACGAACGTGTTCGTGTTCGCCCCTACACGAACACCGCCGTTTGCCGAACCGAACATTGTTCGGTTCGGCGAACACTTTGAGCAAAAAATGGTGTTCGCCGTTCGCCTGTGAATCCGTGTTCGGGCGAACCTCGAACACGTTCGTGTTCGTTGCGGGGGAAATTGCAGCAGCGGCCCGAACACGAACGTGTTCGGGCGAACATCGAACACTGTTCGGCGAACAATTTAAGCCAAAAAAAAAAACCTGTTCGGTTCGCCTCGAACGTGTTCGAGGCGAACCGAACAGGTGTTCGTTTTTTTGCTCAACCCTACATGGGGGTGAGTCATGCACGGGGGGTGAGTCATGCACGGGGGTGTGAGTCATGCATGGGGGATGAGTCATGCATGGGGGATGAGTCATGCATGGGGGGTGAGTCATAGCAACACTCACCATACGTGCCGTGCTTGCGGTCCACGCGCTGCCTGCAGGCCTGCAGCGCGTGCAGAATGGGCGCCAGATACAGCAGCGTCTTGCCCGACCCTGTATCCGCGCGAATCAGCCTGCGAGGGTGTGGGAGGGGAGGCAGGGAGGGAGGGAGAAGCATGTGAGGCAGCAGCAGCGATAGCAGCCGATACAGAATGGGCGCCAGATACAGCAGCGTCTTGCCCGACCCCGTGTCCGCTCGAATGAGCCTGCAGTGTGGGAGGGGAGGAAAAGGGGGAGGGAGAAGCGTGTGAGGCAGCAGCAGCAATAGCAATAGCAACAGGTCCAGCAGGTGCAAAGACGGTGGGAAGGCGATGAGGGAGGGAAAGGAAGGTAGGGAGGGCAGTGAGGACAGGGAGGGCGAGAAGGCAGGGAGGACAGGGGGGACTCACAGGTCTCTGCCAGCGAGGACGTGCGGGATGGCGGCCTGCTGCACGTGCGTTGGCGCTGCGAACCCCAGCTTCTCTGCCAGGGGGGTAGAGGGAAGGGTAACGGAGTGGGCGGAGGGAAGGGCAGAAGGGGTTGGGGAGGTTTAGGGAGGGCGGAAAGGTTTTACCTGGCGCAGGGTTTAAAAGGCGCAGAGATTATCTGTCATTGCAGGGAGTCACCTTCAATGTGCGTCGCGAGCGTCTCGCAAAGCCTAAGGTCCGCGAATTTCCCAGACGAAAACACAACGCCCGAACCCCCCTCCGCCTCCGCGACCTTCCGCTCCGCCGTTCCCCCTTCCGCCTCGCTGCGTCCCCCGTCCCCCGCGTACCCTGGAACTTTGACCTCTCTCCAGCTCTCCTGGTGTCCGCCATTTTCCCGCTCATCGTGCGCGGAGCCTAGTAGCTTCTGCCCCTGCCCCTTCTGCCCACCCCACGCTGCACCGCCCGTTCTTCCCCCGTTTTGGCGGACCGCTGAGAATCCTCTCCCCGCGCCCCTTCCCCGCTGCCTCCCCGCAAATCCCCCCACCGCTGCCCTTCCACCCCTCCCTCCCCGGAAAGCCCCGCCGGAATCTCCGCCGGGAGCACTTTTCTCCGCCGCTCTCTGGAAAGCCCCGCCCCAACCTCCCCCTTGCGCGCGCTCACCATCTCCGCCCCAACTCCCCTTTTGCCCGCTCCGCCCACCACCCCTGCCACCCGGGCCCCCTCTCCTGCCTGACATCGGCGCGCTGTGCTCAAACCCGCGCTCCTTGGAACGATCCGCCTGTTCTACCCCGCGCCAAGTGCTCTGCCTCGTGAAAGAAGATTTAATACAGTCCGTCTGAAGTGACTCTGGATGCTATTCGCGCCGACTAAGGAACTGGAGTTTATTTTTCTCGAGGTGGGGAAGTTCAGGGGATGGTGTGAGAGTTGGAGGGGTTTATGCGAGGTGCGAATTAGGGTTCAGGGTCGGGGTGGAGCGGAATCCGCTTTGAGTGGCTCCCGTTACGCGCAGAGTTGTCCATTCACGCAAGGTGACTCTCTGGATAATAGAATTTCCGGCACTCAATTAGCTGATCAATATAAGATCCATAAAAAATCAACACCAGAAAAATCAACCACACTCTAGGAGCATGTGCAACAATCGCTTCTGCACTTCACAGAAACCACACCTGCTCCCCCTCCCACTTCTTCCCACCCCCCTCTTCCCTTCCCACAGGGCCATGTACGTAGCTCTCTTACTATCAGTGGGTACATAAGCACTGACTCGTGCATACAAGTTAGAACCTATTCCCAATGCAATCACCTACCACCACCCGCTGCTGCTCACTCCCCACCACCATCTTCTTCTTCCTCGTTGCCCTCATTGTCACTCGACAACAGGGTCACATATCCCTCTCCACCACCTCCCGCCTCACCCCCTCCCACCTCCACAACATCCCCCTCCCTTCCCTCCTCCTCCTCATCCCCACCCCCATCCTCTCCGTCCTCCTCCCCATCCGGCCCCTCCCCACCATCCCCCTCCTCGCCTCGCCGCCACGCCCTCCTCTGCAGGTTCACCTTGTGCAGGCGCTTCTCCAGCCGTGACTGGAACCGGTTCATCTTGCGCCGCTCAGTGGACTGGAACCAGAACAGAATGTCGCGCTCTCGCCCGCGCGGCCGCAGCCCTGCGGATCCAAACACCGGGTCAACCTGCCCCTCCCGTCTCCTCTTCCGTAACCCAGCCAGGGGCCGGCCTGACCCCAGGGAAGGGCGAGTGAGCATGCCCTCCCGCCCACCCGCCTCCTGCTGCTGCTGCAGCCCCTCTCGTCCCGCTCTCCCGTCACTCTGCTGTGCCCCCGGCTCCTCCGGGTCCCCTGTCAGCCCCTCCCTTGCCCTCTTCCGCCTCTGCTGGATCCTATCCCACACGCCCAAGGACGGCCCCCCGGAACGCTCACGGGGAGGAGCAGCAGCGGCAGAGCCAGGGGTGCGGGGAGGGTTGCCAGGGGACGGAGCAGGAGGTGCGGCAGGGGTGGGAATCTGTCCTGATGCTGCAGCAAGCAGGAATGAGTTGGAGGCGTGGCGGGGGACGGTGGGGAGGATGGGAGCGCGGTTGAGAGAGGTTGGAGGAGCGGGGGCGGCGGAAGAGCGCTGGGGTTTGGTGGTTCTGGTGGCAATGGGGCGGGAGGAGCGCTGCAGCAGCTGCTGCAGGAGAGGCGAGATGGTCCTGCCTGCTGCTGGGGACGCCGCAGCACCCGCACCAGCAGGAGAACCGGCAGCAGCAGCCGCAGCAGCAGCGAGAGCAGCAGCATTAGGAGTTTGAGGAATCTGAAAGGGGGACGCGTTAGCCGGCGAGAACGCGGCGTTAGCCGGCGAGAACGCGGCAGGGGACGGCGCTGGGACATCAACAGCGGGTAGTTGCGGTGACTCCCCAAACACACCGGGTGTACTGGTCCCACTAGGTATAACCACATTGGGCATGACTTCGATGTCTTCCAGCAATTCGTTCACCATCTCATCATCTGGCTCATCCAACTCCTGAATCCACAACTCCACTCCTATCGCCGCATCTGCTGCCTCCTCCCACACCCCCTCCGCTGCTGCTCCCTCTGCCCCTGCTGCCGCCCCGTCACCCTCCGCATCCTCGTCCTCGTCATCGTCGTCGTCATCTGACATCAGATCCAGCATCGCCATGTCATCAGCGGTGATTGGACGGTTACCGGCCCTGGCTTTAAGCTTCTTGAGCCGCCGCTGCAGCTGCTTCTGCTCGTCCTCTGCTGACCTCTCCCCTCGCCCCCGCCCCCGCCCCCGTCCCCATGCTTTCTCTTTCTCCTTGGCAGCCTTCAGCTGGCTTTGGAGATCCCGAACCTGGTCCTTGAGCGACCGAACCTGCACGCGAGCTTCGGAAAGCCTGCCTTTTAGGGTTTGGATGTCGGAGACTCGGTTTCGAGCAAACTGCTGCAGGCGGCGCTTCTTGGCGAGGAGAGACCTGATGGGCGGATGGAAAGAGGCGAAACAGGTAGAATGAGGCGGCAAACGGGACGGAATGAGGGCGCAGAGAGGGCGGAATGGGTGGAAATAAAGAGCAGAAGGGAAGGGCCAAAAGGCCGTGTTGGTGCTGGTGGTGCCCATGAGATGACCTTCTCTTCCCACTCCCTCCATCCCCTGTGCATGCACCTGATTGTATCCGTGTCCCTTATGTGAATACCGACGTCCATTGCCCCTCCCTCCCCATACCATCCATCAGCTTATGGTATCAGAGCCCTAGCACAGCCCAGCCCCCTCCCTCTTGACTCCCTCCCCACCCTGCCTGCACACCTGATGGCATCCGTGTCCTCGATGTGAATGCCCACGTCCACCGCCCCCCGCTCTGTCTGCGCAAACGCCTGCCAGCCCACAAACACCAGCCGCCGCTTCTTTGGCCCTTGCTGCTCGCAGAGGGGTGGTGGCGGTGGTGGGTGGAGGAGTAGAGGAGGGAGATGGGAAAGGTGAGCGATGTTGCGAGCGAGAGTAGTTGAAGGGGAAAGAGCAGCTAAGCTGATTTCTGAAAACCTTTGGAATGAAACAGCACAGCGGGCACCCCAAGAAACACACAGCCATGCCAAGAGACACCCACCTAGCCACCTGGTTGTGGCCTACTGCCCATGACGCAAACCCAACACTCCTCTACCTGCTAAGTTTGTAACGAACTGAGAGGGTGCGTGCTAAGGGCAAAGAAACTTGTGAGTCACCTCACCGGGCGCTTCAACTGACACACCCTCGCCACCCACCTGGCTCATCTCTTTGGCCCACAACACACCCTCCACATTCCGCCAGTTGCTAGGGAAACTTGTGAACACACACTAACCAGGCACCCCTGCCCAACCGACAATACACCAACATCTTCACTCCACGCACCTGGTTCATCTCTGTGGCCCATGAGGAGTCCCCCACGTTCCGCCAGTTGCTGGGCGCGCGCACCAGCACCCCGCGCTCCTTCCCCTTGGCCACATCCCCCACCTCGTACCCCCCAAACCGCCCCTGCGCGCCCTCCACAAACGGCCCGTGCTGCACGACCGCCTTGCAGATCCCGCACAGGTGGGGGTAGAGCCAGTGGAGAAACGCCAGCAGGGTGGCGTGCTCGCGCTCCTGCTTCTGCCTGCCCGCCTCTCCGCTGCGCTCTATCCCGGGGAGGTAGTACTTATGCACGCATACGTCCTTGCCTAGCCCAGGCGCTGGGAGATTCTCTGTTGGAGGCTGCACCTCTGGCGGCTTCTCCTGCTGCTTCTGTGCCTGCTGCTGCACCCGCTGCTGCTGCTGCTGCTGCTGCTGCTGCTGCTCCTGCCGCCGCTGTTGATGCTGCTGATGATGATGCTGCAGCTGCTGCTGCAGAGCGCTAGCAGGTTGCCGTTCTCCTCGCCTCGCTCCCCGCCCCGACCCCGGGATTGCTCCCGGGGCAGCCCCCCCTACAGGCACATCCACCAACCCTGCTCCCGGCCTCAGCGTGCTCCTATCAGGCGCCTTCAGCCCCAACACGTACTCCCTCACCGGTGGTGCGTTCGCTAATCCCTGCCCGCGCGCCTGAGTTACCCCCTCTGTTCGCCCTTGCGTTACCCCCTGTACTCCCTGCTCTCGCCCCTGTGTCACCCGCTGTGCATCTCCCGCCGGCATCACAAGCCTCCTTCCAGCCTCTTCACTTTGCTGTGTGGGCACTGAATTCAGCCCCCCAAACCCCTCCCACGCTTGCCTCCCCTGTCGCTGCCTCGACCCCAGCCCTCCCAACCGCGTTCTGCCCTGCCACTGACCCACCCCGTCCGTCTGGTTCCCCGCAGGCGGTCCCGCAACTGTGGTGGCAGCTATGGTGCTGGCAAACACGGTGGGAGGTGCGGTGCCGGCAGGTACGGTGCGAGGTATGGTGCCGGCAGGTGCGGAGCCGGCAGGTACGGTGCGAGGTACGGTGCCGGCGAGTATGGCGCCGGGGCGTAAGTTGAACGTCAGGCCTGGGGGAACACGGCTGGGGTAGTAACCAGGCAGTTCCACTGAGCGATCTAACCGCGGGTTCAGGGACGGCATGGTCAGTAGATTCGCCTGCTGCTGCTGCTGCTGCTGCTGCCCATGCCCCTGCTGCTGCGCCAGCTGCGTTGCTGGCGGAAGTCCGCCTGCTGCAGCAACAGGAGGCCGTAACCAGCTCGCTTGCTGCTGCTGCGGCACCTGCTGATACTGCTGCGCCAGCAGCTGCATTGCCGGCCCAGGGAAACCCGCCCCCCCTGCAGCTCCTGCAGTCGCTGCTGCTGCCGCCTTCGCAGCAACTGCTGCGTCGCCTGGTTTCGCCCCTCCTCCTGCTCCCCCGCCCCCTGCCCCTTCCCCTGCCTCCTGCTGCCTGCGCCGCTCCAGCCACGCGCTCACGGCAGCGAGCGCCACGTTCACCTCCGCTTCCGCGAAGTACTTGCGCGGGCGCCCGCGCTTCCCGTGCTGCGAGTCCAGCAGCAGCGCCTTCGCCAGCCGCACGCACTGCTCCGCGGGCACGGACGACCCCTGCCGCTTCAGCACCCACTTCACGCCCGTCTCGAGCGCCGCCATCGTGTGCGGCGCGACCTGATCGTCGTCCTCCGCGCCTGGCAGGCGCGGCCTCATGTGGATGTATAGGAGCTTCTCCACCGCTGTCTCGAGCTCTTTGGGTGGCACGGAGAGGATGGCGTTCAGCGCGCTGTGGTCCGTTTCGTCGTCCTCGTCGTCGTCGTCCAGCTCGATCGTTTCTATTACTGGCGCTGCCTGTCCTCCTGCCGCGGATGCTGGCGCTGCTGCGTTCGCCGCTGCTGGCGGCGCAGGAGATGCTTGCGCAGTGTCTGTTGCGGGCGTTGGTGCGGATGCGCTTCCGGAAGGTCCCGGGCCCAAAGGATTCGGCATGTCGCGCACCGCTTTGATCTCCGCGTCTATCGTTGCGTAAGAGGCGGCAGCGGCGGGAGCGGATGATGGTGCCTGCTGAGGCGCACCGGGAGCTGGCGGAGCAACGGGGGAAGTGGAGGGAGCAGCCCCCCCTTCCGCAGGAGGGGCAGGGGTTGCTGGGGAAGCAAGTGGTGCCGCAGGATCAGCAGCGGGAGCGGCAGCGGGAGCAGCAGCAGGAGCAGCGGCGGAAGTGACAGCGGGAACGACTTCGGGGGCAGCGGCGAGAGCAACAGCGGGATCAGCCTGCGCAACGGCGGAAGGCGGGTCCGCATTCGCCGTCTTCTTTTCCACCTCACTGGGCTGCATCGTTTCCGTCGCATCTACCTCTTCTTGTTCTTTATCTGCTGCCGCAGCTTGCGCCTTCTCAGCCTCTGCTCCGCTTTCCGAGTCTGCTCCTCCCTTCCTTGTTCCCTTCGACAACTCACTTGCTGGTTCTGTGTCCTCCTTCGTCGCACCGTCATCTGCTGCCTGTGCCTTGGTACTCACATCGGCTCCCTCTGCTCCTCCATCCTTCGGTACCTCTGGGTTCGCTGTTGCTGTTCCTGCGTCCTCCTTCGTCGCACCGTCACCTGCTGCCTGTGCTTTCGTATCCGCCTCAGCTCCCTCTGCGCCTACGCCATCCGCTCCCTCTCGGCTCGCCGTCGCCGTTTCTGCGTCTTCCTTCGTCGTACCGTCTCCCGCTGCCTCTGTTTCGGAATCCTTCGGAACCTCACCAGCTGGCGCCTTCTCCGACTCTGCTCCGCCTTCCAGGTCCGCTGCTCCGCCGTCTGCTCCGTCTCGGCCCGCAGCCGCTCCTTTTGTGTCCACATTCGCCGCATCTTCCCCTGCTGCCTCTGTTTCGGAATCCTTCGGAGCCTCACCATCCGGTTCCGCATCAGGCGTCTCGCGCGCGGCGGAAGCATTTTCCACGTGAGCACTGGGCTCCGCGTCATCCGCCGTGCCGAGCGGTGTCACTTCTGCATTCCCTTCTTGCGGCACTTCCACAACATCGTCATCCTCAGATGACTCTTCTTTTCCTGTGACTTCGACAGGTTCCTTCTCTGACATCGTCCAGGCAGTTGAAGAGTTGGCACAGACTAGGGTGCACTCGTCACCAAGTCTAAGCGGAGTTCAAGATAGGATTAGGAAGGGTTGCGGACTGGCTGTTACGAAAAACAAACTTGTCGGGAGACTGGATGTTTGCGGGTTACCAGAAGGAAGAGAAGGAACAAGCTGGCCGATCTTGCACTGTGAAAGCGGGAAAGCGCATGAAACCCTAACGATCAGTGGCAGTGACGTTGGAGTTTCCAGAAACTGAACAGGGAAGGGGGATCGCCCTTCTTGGCCTCAACTACAGTACTGGCCAAAATGTGGTGAGGATCGACCATGTGAACCAGGATGTCAAACGCTAATTGCGGACAGACTTCCGATTAGCCCTTCATCGAACGGCTCAGGTCTCGCGTTTGCTTTCCTTCCCGCTTCGTTGGCATCATGGCCTGATTGAATTACGATCGCCGACACACTCTACGAACACGCCCCTCTTCTATGCGAAGGATGTTGCTGTGGTCGGTTCAATCTGGTCGTTTGGCGAAATTCGCACATGCTTTCAAACTGTGACAGTTGAGTTACACACATTGACCTGTTATACACAAATGTGATGGTACTGAGAACTGGGCACAGATGTTCCACACCACATACATTCCAAAGAAATTGAACATAGTACCTTGCAAATTTCGGTCATGATGCAATTGGTATTCGATACGGAGATAAATTCAAAATATAACATATTATTCGTTGTAATTGTTGTTCAAAGTTCACAAATTGTTTCATCATCCTTAGAAAATCAGGATGGGTTATGGATTTCTTTACTTGTTAAACCACGGTAGGAGGACTGACGCGTCTTTTATTAGAAAATTGCTTGCACTGAATCATGAGTGCTCGAAGCGCCTTCCTCGACCTTCACGTTTTTTGCCAGAGCTCACTCCACATGCCACGTGGATTGCTGCTCAGGCAGGGGCATGTTGGCGGGAAATCCACAGTCACGTCTTAGCTTCGGCATGCATACCGACAGGTTCCCCACCTAAGCTCAGCGTCGATTGGCTAGATCGTCCCGCTTTCATTCGTCCGTTTTCACATCATGGCATGACCCATCCGTTTGACTTGAAGCACTCCAGACCTCAACACCTGACACACAAGCAAGTGATCTCAAGGGAAAAGCTTGTGTTGCAACTAGTGAGTTTTTGCTCGTTCAGGACCTATTGAGGATATGGCGGCATCGCGCGTTTCGTGAAAACTATGGCGTTGTTCCGTCACAAACTGCCATCAGACGCTTAATCCCCTCTTACCACATTCATTAGTGACGTCTGAACGAGCAGCGTCTAGGCGAACGAACCTGCCACCATGTTTAAGGGACTAAGGACGAAAAAGGAGAGGTTCGACTTTAGGTTCCGGTTTCACGCGACGCGGGTAAGTGAAATCACTAGCGTCCGTTACTCTATTTATTGACGGCGCATGTTGTTTTCATCCTCCGAACAACAATATTTGTCCACCCCTCTCGTGTATTCAGGTGCCGGCGTCTGGCTTCGACAACCTCGTGGTGTTCGTCGTTCCCGCGGATTCCGGCAAGCCCGAGGGACAAACCCCCAAGGCAACGGTCAAGAATGGCTCGTGCGCGTGGAGCGGGTCGGTCACGATCACCACGAAGCTCACTCGTCACGCCAAGGCCAAGGCGTACGAGCCACGGCCGTACCGCTTCGTCGTCTCGTCCGTAAGTGCTCGTTCGTGAGTCATTCCCTTTCTTCCTGGTATCACCGTGCTGTTGCCTAGTCTTTCATAGCCGTGTCTTTCGTTTTTCACCACGAGGCTTCGGTCAGACGGTTATGTCCGTGACTCAATTATCCTCGCATTCTCAGTCCCCATCTCCTTCGATATATGGAAACCCCTCCTCCTCTTTCGCAGAACTCGTTGCGATCGGGCGTGCTGGGTGAAGCGACGCTGAACCTAGCGGAATTCGGGGGATTCGGAGGACTGGATCAGCGAACTCTTCCCTTGAAGAACTGCAGCGCTGGAACCATCCTTCATGTAAGGCAGCTGCTCCAAGTAGGTGGGGGAATGGAAAAGAACTGATTGGAGAAAGGAAAGAAGCAAGAAGAATAAAAGAAATACAATCGAAATAGCAATCAATAAGTCATTTACTAATCTCGGTGGTTCACACGCGCGTGGTTATGCTCCTTCAGCAATCGGTTTGTAAGCTGACGAGGAAGTGAGGATGAGAGGAGTCGCTGTAGTTGCTCGTGACAAGTTCCTCACTCGGCATTGTGTCCCACCGCTTGTGCCTTGCAGGCCACGGTTCAATGCACGGCGCTCGACCCAAGGTATGACCCGCAAAACTGTTCACCATCTGCAACCACAATCAGAGTATTGTATTGTAGTCTTTCCTCCGTTGCCCTTTTGACGAGCCGGTAGCTGATCTATTCTCCGTGTGCGCGGGGGCGTGGTGCGCGCGTGCAGGGACGACGACGAGAGCGAGCACGAGGAGGTGGCCCCGAGGAGGGCGGCACCGGGGGCCGCTAGTGGCCGCCACGGCGCCGCTGCGGGCAAGGCGGAAGCCGCCACTGCTGCGGCTGCTGCTGCCGCCGCCGCTGCTGCGGGTGGCGGCAAGGGACGGGCGGGAGATGCGCAGGTAGGCGAACACGTTCGTGCGTCGTCTCGTTGCCTTATTGCTGTAGGCGTTCCGCTGCATTCTCTCCAGTCATCGCCACTCCGCGGTCACTTCCCCTCCCCGCCCACCACGTGCTTGCGCAGAAGCAGCACATTCAGGCCGCAAAGCAGAAGGGCGAGGGGGTGAAGCAGGCGCAAAAGCAGGAGGCGCAGCGGCAGGAGGCGCAACGGCAGGAGGCGCAGCGGCAGGAGGCGCGGCGGCAAGAGGCGGAAACAGCCAGTCAGCCCGTTGTTCGTCCCACCCTAGACGTCCCTCCTGCACCCTCCCAGGTCAGTGTGCCTTTTGTGGTGCCGTCTGGGTGCCATGTGGGTGCCATCTGGGTGCCGCTTGGGCGACGTTTCAAAGCCGTTTGAATGCCAATTGAACGCACACGGGGACATACAGGGGTGACACAACCGTTGAACGCATAGGGTGAACGCATAGGGTGACACACAGGGTGCAGTCACGGGAAATGCTGAAGAACAGAGGTGCTACCAAGCGGGCTCGGGGAAACGTACATGCACTTGTTTTTGTGTGTGCGTCTTGTTCTGGTGGGGGCAGAAACGGTTGGTGGAATGGTTGGTGGGATGGTTTGTGGAATGGTTGGTGGGATGGTTGGTGGAACTAGAAAGAGGGAATGAACGGCTGTGCAGTGCAGCTATTAACTGCCTCTTTATCACGGCCGGATAGTGTCCCTTACCCCCTTGTGTCTTCCTGTTGCTCACATCCCACTACCCCACCAATCCCCTCACTCCCCTCTCCACCCTTTGCTCTCTCCCCTCGCCATTGCTGCCACTGCTGCCATTGCCCCCACTGCACCCCCGGCCACGTGGATGGCAGGACGAAGACTCATCGTCAGAGGAGTCGTCCTCGTGCGACACCACGCCGCGCACCACCGCCAGCACCACCAGCGCCACGCCCAGCTCCGCCGCTCCCTCCGCCGCACCTTCCGCCGCCGCCACCGCTGCCCCTGCTGCAGCTGCTGCTGCCGCTGCTGCCGCTGCTAGCACTGCCCCCGCTGTTGCTGCTGCTGCTGGTTCAGGCACAAATGCGGGAGGAGGAGCAGGAGCAGGTGCAGGGACAGGGGTAGGTGCAGGGGCAGGGACAAGTGCGAGCAGCACTGCGGGCGGTCGCGGGGGGCGCGGTGACAGTAAGCCGTCTGCTGCCTCCCCGCGGGTGACGGGAAAGGAAGGGGGTGGCGGGGGCGGCGGGATGTTTTTTTGGCGTTCCAGCAGCAGCAAAGACAAGGATAAGGACAGGGAGAAGGGTAAGGAAAAGGATAAGGGGAGTATTATTCCCGCGTCCCCGCGATTCCGGTCTAAGAAGGAACCGTCGTCTCCCGTGGTGCGCTCGCGTGACACGTCGCCCAGTAGGGACGCGACACGTGGGAAAGGGAAGGAGAAGGAAAAAGCGGCGGAGAAGGGCGAGAAGGGGGCGCGGGAGAGAGCGGAGGAGAGGCAGGAGGGTGAGGGGCGAGGTGGGGAGAAGGAGAGGGAGGAGGAGGACTGGATGGGAAGCGAGGGGGAGAGGCGGCAAGGGAGGAAAAAAGAGTCCGGAATTGACCAGGACTTGGAATGGCTGCGGCAGCAGGAGATGCAGAAACAGCAAGAGGAGATGCAGAGGCAGCAGGAGGAGTTGCGGAAGCAGCAGGAGGAGATGCAGAGACAGCAACAGGAGATGCAGAGGCAGCAGCAGTTGGCAGAGAGGAAGCGAGAGGAGGAGGACGCGGGAGGGAGGGATGGGGGTGCGGAGTGGGGTGGGCAGCAGAGCGAGGAGGAGGAGGTGCGGCGGCAGGAGGAGGCATTGGAGGAGGAGGCGAGGAGGGTGAGGATGGAGCGGGAGAAGCAGCGGCAGAGGAAGGAGGAGATGAGGCGGCAGCAGCAGCAGCAGGGGGGCGGCATGGGGGGAGCATCGGCGGACGTCACGCCCGCGCAAAGCCCCGCGCTGCAAGGCAGGGCGGGTGGCTGGGATACGTGGGGTAGTGGCGCAGGGGACGGGCGCGGGGAGGGCAGGGCGGGCGGGGGAGAGCGGGAGCCAGCGCGGTCGCCAGGGATCCCCCCGCCTGCGGGGGCCGCGCCTGTGGGGGCGGTGTCTCCGGGGAAGCTGCTGGGCGGGTGGAGCAAGCGCGCCAGCAGCAAAGACGCGCAGGAGCAGGCCGCGGGGGGGCCTGATGCTTCCGCCGCGGGGAGTGGCGCGCATCGCCTTCCCCCAGCAGCAGCGCCTGCGGTGCTTCCCCCCGCTCCCGGCGCAGCTGCCGCCTCCCCCAGGGGTGCCCGCACCCCCTCGCCAGCTGGCACGCCCACTCACCGGCCAGCGAGGCAGTACGATGACATGGCAGGGGCGGAGGGCGGCGGGATGGGCGGGGGCG